CCCATCCCATCCCATCCCATCCCATCCCATCCCATCCCATCCCATCCCAGGAGCACACGAGCACTGGCAGGAGAGCTTGGAAGAAAAAGGGCAGAGTGGAGCTGTTGGAAGGCTCAGTTTTTATAGGAATTCCTGCAGGCAAACACGAGCTCCCTCAGAGTTATCTGGACCCAGGCAGAGCTGAGCTCCCAACCTGAGCAAGGCACAGGGAATTCTGTGTGTCTGTACAAGGTTGTGCTCACCAGAGCTCTCCATGGTCAGAGGGCTCAGAGGGCTGCCCTTCCCCTCACACAGGAGTTCCTGTCATCCTCCAGCCTCTCCTATGATGACAGGTTTGACTGGGTTCACTGTATCAAATAAAAAATCATTGAAGTGCTCTAAATTATATCACACATGAAAAGCAGAGGTGGCCAGCTCTGTCTTTCTGTGTCCTTTAATGTTCATAAATCAGAAATAACTCCCCCAAATACAAATCAAATAAAAAGCACTTTCATATGGTAATCTGCACTGTCTGTGCTGTGCAGTTTTTTGAATCACCATCAAATGCATCATATGTCCTACTTGCATTTGTTTTTAATCTATAATTCTGTGTATTCTTCCCCTTTTTAATCCCTTGCTAATGTTGAAAAATCCTCTAGATACCCAGAGGAGGGTTCATTTCAAAACAGGAGAGCACCTCTTTTCTCAGGACAAGGATTCAGCATCAGTTTGCAGCACAACTTTCAGAAAAAAAACTTTGAAGTCTGTACAAAGAAAAGAGTTATTGTCTCTGGCAATATTCAAAGCTGGCCACAAGAGCTGCTGCTCTGACCTCTGTGGGATGATTTTCATGCCAGGTTGTTGACACAAACTTGCCTCTACAACAAGTTCGTGTTCAGCAATAACAAGAACAAGGTGAAATTATTTACATGGCCTAGATGGGTGTCAGCAGACATTCCAGCAGCACCTGAGAGCCCAAACAGCAGAAGAATGATCAAAGGAATTTGTCTGTGTGCTGCAACTCGGACTGGCCTTCAGAGCAGACAAAAACACTGCAAGAAACACGAACATATGGTACAACACTTCCCAGCATGGCAAACAGCCATGGCAAACACTTCTGGAGATAAAATTAGATTGGGGAAGCAAAGCTGGAGATAAACAAAGCCAAGTATGAACTCAGAAAGCATTTCAGCTCAAGGTCATCAGAATACTTGCTATGGAAACATCACCAGTAGTATCATTCTACTTTTACTTTTCTGATCTGCAAAAGTCAAACCAACCCCGAGAAACAGTTACAGGTAAAGATGAAAGTGCACTACAGTAATCAGTAGATTTTTGATGCTGTTTATTCTGGAGACTAAAACAAGGCAGAAACTCAAAATAGCTATCAAAATTAATTCCCTGGTTTCTTGAAAGTACATAGGAACTTAAAAGCAATTTTTTGTAAGAATGTAATCTGAAAAGGGGTACTTGCAGCTTGTAAAGAGAAGGTTCTGATTTTCTGAATTTTTTTTTATACCAGTGATGTAAATCTCTCTTATCTTAAGGTCTCCAAGAAAACACTTAAAAACTGTTGCTTCCTGACTTCATCTACCCTGCATGAATTAGCACTGAAGGGTGCAGTGTGAAGGGAGCTTTGTTGGAGAAAATTGATTGTTACAAATGCCCTTAGCTCTGGAACACCACAAGAATTTTGAATGTGCCTCTTCAAAGTTTCAAGCTAACAAAGATACTCTTAACTTTGGGAAGTTTAACATTTATCCTGTGAAGCCCCACCTAACTTTTTATAGTTGGTGACTGAACTAGTCCAGTGTGTGACAACAGTGACCTGCAGAGAGCTACACCCACCCTGTCCACAAACAGGAACCATCTACAACAGCAGGACATCAGGCAGCAAAAAATTAAAAGGGTTGGATACCAGGTCCCATTTATATTATACATAATATACTATTAAATATCTAGAAATTATAATAACAATAATGAAATACTATCTATGTCTATATATAATTCCAAGCTCCTTATTGATCTGTTTTTACAAGAGAAATAAGGAATAGTTTGGAATGAAAAGATGCATCCAAAACAAGTCACTATAAAGCAGGAATTGGTGCCTTCACAGAGACCAGCAGCACTGTTGTGTGACTGTGAACAACACTGAGCTACCCACTCTGGTCCTGTGTGAAAACACTCCTGAGCAAATCCCAGACTAACCAAAGAGAGTGGATTGAAATGGGGAGCACAAATATTCAAGTTCCAGACACATCTATCAAATAAATTTCACAATTTACAATTGCCACAACTGTTTTGTTCCTCCAATTAATGAAAAAAAAAACCCAAAAGAAACAAGAAAGAACCCCTACATCCCAAACTCAGAGTATCCCCAGTTTTTATTAGGAAATGCCAATGTAAAGCCTGGCAGCAGCACGGCTGGGGAGGCAGATCCTCCTGGTGTTTGTTTCAGAATGAAGGAGGAGCTGCTGACAGTGCTGGCACCAAGAACATGAACCCTGAGGTTTCCCTTTGCACAGTGACTGCACGTCCTTGGGGCAACCCTTCTCTCTTTTCCACCCCAGATCCAAGAGATAAAAGTTCTTCAGGTTCCAAAACTGATTTTAAAGCTACTCCACTCAGCCAGACAAACCACTTCCAGGGGAGGTTTTTTTTTTCTGGACGGGAAAATAACAAATTGTGCAAGTTAAGAAAGCCCTCACATAGAAACTCCTGGCCTTTATCTGCTTGGAGAAGATTCAAAGCCATAAAGACAGCACAAGGCTTTATCTCCATAAGAAGCTTTCAGCAAGGAGGAAGGAAAGTCAGGCAAAACTATACTCAGATTTGAAGAGGTGCATATTGAAACTGTGGCTTAATGAACAATCTCTTACCTAGAACTCTCAATCTCTCTGCTCCAACCACCACTTCGTTGTCATCTGCAGAAAACAGCAATTTTCCAGAGAGGGTTTTCACCTCAAATTTTTGGCTGTGTGCTTCCACTGCTTGGGGACCTAGGGGGAAGAAGCTTTACTTTAGGGAAAAGCATAAGAAAACCACGTAGTAGCTTCATACATTCAATAAACCCATTTGCTGAGTAATAATAGCTCAACAAATTGCATCAGAGACACCAAACAGGGAGGCTTTTTAGGTCTTATTAGAAAAGGGCAGTTTTCTACTCAAGTAACAACTGCTCAACTATTTCTACTTCTGCTTATGTGCCATAAAATCATCATTGAATTTGGGATGGCTGGGATATTTTTACAAAAAGACAGACCCCTATGTGAAACAGCAATGAATATATCCAGTCATGCTTTGACATATTTGTGCAGGTGTAAGAGGCATCAAGAGCTCCAGGGGCCATTTTGCTTGGACTGATGCTGCTGTGTAAAATATTTCTGCTTTTCTACCTTTTAAATATATCTGGATTAAAATTCTATCAGTATCATGCACAATCCAATTAAAAAAAAAAAAAAACAAAAAACAAACACCAGCACAGGAGCAAATGTTTTGCTTTAGACCCATTCAATCATATGCAGGCCAAGAAAAATGGCATCTTCTCACACTGCAGAAAGTTTTTAGGCAAGTAAAACTTTCCTTCGAAATCTTATTTCAATTCTGCTGCTTTTCCTGCAGGCTGCTGTGCCCTGCAGTGCTGGAGAGCCTCTGGCAATGTGTTTTGTGGTGTGATAAACATCAGCCTCCTGAATAGAGATTCTGTGAGGTTTGTGGCTCAAAGGCTGCCAAGAGTTACAAAGAGACCGCCCTGGGTGACTGACCCAGGCCAGACTTTGGACAAATCACCACTGAACAGCCCTGCCATCTAAGCCACAGCCCTCCTGGAATATTATTCTGCACCAGGCAGGTGATTGGATTTTGCATTAATTCTGGCCATCTTCAAGACCAATCTCATTTCTCAAAAGACAAGAGAAATAACACTTGAAAGACAGTATTTTCTTAAGAACTCCATCCCTACCCAGCATTTCCCTGCACAGGTCACCTGTGCTGGCACCTGGACACACAGAATCATGCACGTGGTTTGCACTTCAGACTAGCAGGGTTATGCTGAGATCCCTGGAAATATTTAAAAGCTCATGCAGCCACACTGAGAAAATGCAGTACTTTAAATCTGGTTTGTGTCTTGCTTATTAACCACCTCCCCACTCATCCTTGCAGCACTACATGGGGCCAAATCTTTGCTCCACTGTGAAACCAAAGCTGGTGTTGAATGCATAAAAAGCTCAATAACCAGAGCATCACACTGGGAGGTACCACTGAGCCCCAAACTCTCGTGACATAGAGGTGCTTAAGTGAACCAAACCCTCTTGAAAATGCACCGAGAACCAACAAACTGAGACCTTCATTCTGAATGTGAGAATCAGGGAGCCTGGGGTTGAATTTATTTCCTTCCTCCAGGCAAGTTTCACACATGCTGCCTAAATAATTGCTCACTGAAGCTGCATATTTAATTATTTAATACTGTGACTAAAGGCCAAGATGTTATATAAGCAAAACAAGCAACCTAGTCTCAACTTAGAAACATGTTGATGGATTACTGCCTTTGCCACACACCAATACTTCTCACAGTCCCTGCATAAATCTCAGTAAATATATCTCTGTCCCATATCAAATATATATTATATACCATATATACAGTGCCATATACCTTATTTAATGCATTAGGCTCTTTCAGCCCAAATTACTCATTCATAATTTCATACCAAATTACTCATGCATTCATTCAAATGCTGCTGTGCACTGGGGATTTATGAAACACCCATTTCCCCATCTAACACACTCTTGTTTGGGTGCAAAGGGAGTTCTTCATCAGCAGAAGGACTTTAAATTGAAAACTGTTCCCACAGTTGGGCTCCAGAGTTCCCAAGATTTCAGGCAAGTTATAAGTGCTTGTTACAACAGAAATGTCAGCCTGGCATGTGTTTTTCTTGACCCTGATGTCACACAACACACATTTCTAACTCTGGACTGGCTTTCAAATGAAAGTGATGGTCTGCCTCGTTATCAGACAGCCCCAGCCCGTTGCCTCTCCAGCACAGCTTTCATGTTCCTGGCTTTGTTTCTACAAAGTGGAGTGAACTTTTCAATTCTACTCCACAAGACACCCAGGCTGCCCCCTGTGTGCTGTCTGAAGCCAGCACAGCATCCCAAAACACCCACTTTCATCCCTCCTTAATCCCTCCAAACAGCCTTTCCCCCTCCTTACCTGTTACGAGGCGAGTGAGGACTTTTGTCTTCTCGTTGAGGATGTTGACGGTGACGTTCCTGGCGGACTGGAAGTACAGTGGGTTGCCCTGGAACAAGACCAAGGGTGTGAGATGGGGGTGGCTGCGTGGCTGGGACACCTGGAGCTGACCCCAAGGCTGAGGGCATGGCTGCCCTGCAGTAACTCCTGCCCAGAGTGGACAGCCCAGCTCTGTCTGGCCCAGGCAGTGCCTTGCTTTAGGGATGATTGCCTCTATTGCTGGAATAAGCCAACCAACCTGTAATTTTAAAATGTGCAGGTGATATGGGTCCTGACCTAAGCTTCCCAAAGGTGTTTTGGGAGGATGGTTGATTGCAGCAGTGCATTTCAGAGGCAAATCTGCAAAATTACAGGTTCTGATGACTCCAGTGGGTGACAGTGTGTGCCCATAGGTGAGTGAGCCATGCCCAAGGACTGGGGAGGAGAAAATGTGATTAACATGTGGAGAGTGCCTTAGAAATCAGAGCACTTGTGAACCATCTGGCACATTTCACCACCACACTGGGGGCTGGGCTGCCAGCCTGTGACCAGACCCATCCCACTGGGTCTGCAGAACACAAGACACGAACTCTTCCCTACTTCCCACTTGACCACAAAGAATTCCACCAATTTATCATTTTTATGCTTTAAACACACCTCTGAGAGAAGAGCCAGAGCAGCTGGTAGCACACAGCGACCTGGCAACATCCATCTCAGGTATTTCTCCTGCAGAGCAAAGCCAAAGAAAACCCACAGCTCCAACCATCTGGCTCCTCGTGTGTGCAAACACAGCCCAGGCTCCAGGGAACTCGTGTTTTCCACAGCCTGCACAGCTGGCTTCTCAGGGACTATTAGCCACCCACAGCACCAGCACGGGGTGACCCCAAATCCAATCAGCCAAAAATCTAATGTGTGAGGTGGAAATTCACCACCAGCATCTCTCTGCAGTGCCTACAGCACGCAGCTGATCAAATTCATCAATTGACTGAGACACAGGATGGGCAGAGGAGATAAAACAGCAAGAAAATCAGCAAGAAGTTGAAAATTTTTATGTCCAATGTCTTTTTCCAGCATTTCGAATTTTTTCCATTAGGAATGAATAATCAGGAATGGGGACAGAGAATCATGTGGGTCAGGCATTTCTCCTTGCCTCCTGAATTTGTAATGAACACAGTATTTTCACAGATGCCATTTTTTTCTGGATCATGGCAGAAGGACTAAGTTGTCTGCATATAAAATATAACAGGAACACAGAAATGATCCCTGGGAGTCCTGTGGTGGACTGAGCCTTCGGGGAACACTCTAGTGATGGACAAACAATTCCCAGCACTGTTTTCAGAAAATAAACCTCAAGAAACTAAAATAAAAACAGCCTCACATGTGACCAAATATTCACATCAATTACATTTGTTTCCTTCATTGTTTCTGCAGCATGTTCCATGGGATGAGCCCTTCAGCAACAAAGGGGAAAATGGGGTTTATTTGATCAATTATAAGTAGAACATTTTGGCTACATCCAGACTATTTACAACTAAATAAAAATAGTGATTAAAAAAAAGAATTCCACTTAATCATTTCCAGATCTTGGACAAGTTTCAGAAGCTCTTGGTACCTCTGTCCCCCTACTACACTAAATGAGGACAAATCATCCTTCTATACCTCTGCAATGTGTCTGACAGCTTAAATAATATTGTATATGAAACTGAATTATGATTAATAATTTATAAGTAAGGATCAGTGGTAATGACTTGCAATGATTCTTCTCTAATTTTTATTTGTGATCTTCTAGAACTTCTAGAAATTAATGCTGATTATTACTATTTCATGGTTAACAGCTCAGAAAGAAAAGATGGCTTCACTTGGATCCCCCCTGCTCAGGGACCTGATTTGAACACACCCAGGAAGAGCAGTTTACTGCTGCATATCCATTTCCCACTTACACATAAAGGGGATTTTTAAATTTAGACAGCTACAATCTGCATAATGTACAGTCATGGGTGAGACTGTAACTACTATAAACACTCCATAGGAAGCACAGAAAAGGTTTTTTTTTAGACTTGTACTGTTTGAATGTTGCTTATAGAGTTTTCAAGCAGCTGGAGTGTTTTGAGAAAGCCAGGAACTCTACACATTTAGGCAGGAAAAGATTTTTCATGACTTTGAAAGATCTGTTGCTGCTCTTTGTAATACAGGATTGCACTACAGAGGTGCTACAAGATAAGCCAATATAAAAAAACACAGAAAAAGTTGCTCTGAAGAAGACCTACAAGACAAGGTAAGAGCTGGTATCCAGCTACAAAAGCCTTAAAATACATAATCAGACCTGGAAATGTTTACTCCAGCATAGTCATCTCATTCGCTCATTCAGAACTCAGATTCATGCAGCCTTCAAAAAACTAAATTTCCCTAATGGAGGAGTTATGTTTTTATTGGTCTGCAGGGAAAGAACATTGGAAGCACTTAATGTAATGCCTGCTCTCATTTCCATAATTCTTTTTCCATTAAGGAATGAAAAAGAACTGAAGAAATTACTCCCTTTTGCTGAAAATTCAGCAGATTTTCTATCCATCATCTTCTGTTTACAAAGGAAATAACACTGACATCTTTTAAACACTGAACATTAAAAAAATGTTTCTTCTGTTGCAAGCTTGGTGATGATGCCAGCTTCTTTCAATCACACAGAACAAAATAATGAAAGCTTTAAAAGCCAGTTAGGATTTACGACTGAAAAGACAAAGCCTTCCCCTTCTCTTACACTTTCATGTTACCATGACATGAAATGAAGTATTCTGATGCATATGAGCAGGTGGAAATCTAGATCAATACAGCATCAGCACCACAATAAAACAGTTATGTAGTGAAGCAGTATTTTCATAAACTGTGATAGCACTTGATGAAGCTGGAGTTAGAATATCAGCATGCAATAAACAAGCACATCTTTTAAAGACTCTTCGGGCTGGTCATGTCCTTTCAGCTCACCATGAACCTACTATTCATCTCTGCAGGAAATCCTGGAGAGTAAATACATCATTCTGCCTCTCACTCCAGCTCCTCATTAGCAGAGCCAGTGCCTTAAAAATAATTCAAATGTTTACAGACACACAATAGCATTTGCCACAGCTACTCAATACATTAAAAAATTGGACACATGCCGTAGAAAGAAGAATATGAAAAGTGCAAAAATATGCCAAAACTGCATAGCTTGCTTCCTCACCAAGCAGAGGTATCCAGTAAAATATAGAACACTTCACAAAAGGTATCAACTTACTGATTGCTAGGTTAAACACATGGCAAAACAAGCCAGAACAGCTCACTAGCTGTCGTTCTTTGGCTCTCTTTGGAAGAGATGCTAAAAACTCCCAGATCAGAGACTGAAATAGAAAAAGCCCTTTGACTGACAACCTTAATTTGCAGCTGAAGCAATCCTAACCAGTGCTGTCTTCAGGGAAATGCAGTACTTTAACAGATGTCCTTAGACTGTTTTAGGGAATTATTAAAAATATTTGGAAATCCTTTTAAATTTTTACAGGCAATTTAAAAATAATGCTTCACAGTTGGTGTGTTTGTAGTTTGGATGGTCAGAAGGAATAGCTTTAACTTGATCCTATGGATTCTTAGACTTCACACAGTAAGTGCCAAGTGAAGCTTGTGGAAATAATGGAAATGGTGAATTTCCTGCAGGCTTGACAAAGTAATGGCAAAAATAAAATCTTAAAGCATAATCTGGGTTGTCAAGGAGCAGTCTGTGGAGAAGTCACTCACAGCACCATTTTCCTGCTCAACTCTACCTCGCACTGACATTTACAGGAAGCAAACCCTGCTCTATGCTCAGCTGGACTGTCAGAGGGCCAAAGCTTGTTTTCTGTAAAGCAAGCAGCCAGCAAAAGCTTTTCTGCTTCTGTCCTACAGCCAGAGCAGCCCTCACCTGCCTGCACCTCTGGGTGCTGCTCTAAGGAGAGTGGGGAATTTTTGTGTGGAATATGTAACAAATACATTCCTTCAAATCCAACCAGTCCTATTACACCAGCAGCTAAATGTGATAACAGCAATAACAGCAGTGACACTTTCCTGCACTGCATTTACCACTGGCAGGGACAAATCAGAGCTGCACTTCAGTTTTTTATGCTTTGGAGCAGCAAGAATTCATCACCCAATAACTGAGAGACAAAGCAATAATTTTAGGGCACTTGGAATATTCTTCATTAAGAATGGCAAACCTCTGATGAAAAGGCACAAAAGGCATCACAAGTCTGTGGATTTTCTTCATGTGGCCAGGCCCAGAGCACTGCATGTCCCCTGACCTGCCAGGAAAGCTGACCTTGTGACCCTTACTCTGTCACTCTTGGTCAGTTGACAGACGTTTAAATCAGTCTTCCTGACCCAGTTCTGCACGTTCCCATACCACTTGCTCCTCTTTCAAAGGGAAGCACCAGGAATATCTCACTGTGTGATGCTCAACATGGAGTTTCCAAACCACAAAGGTCTCCAGAACACGCTGTGAGCACAGTCACAAAAACCAGGATCTGTCCCCAAGTGTGCATTTCCTCCTCCCACTCCTACCTTGGGAATAGAAACTCCTTTGGAGAGTGTCTGATGCTGGAAAAGTTCAGAGTTGCCCCTTAAAATAGATAGTTAGGAGGAAATTGAGTAAAAGCCCTTCAGAAGTGATGAGAGATGCTGCAGGGATCAGGCCACTGGCACCACCACGAGTCTGAGCAAAGCTCACAGAACATTGCACAGACACCATGCACCTCCTGAAGAGAAAACTGGAAGCACTGGACAGCACCTACCTTTGGCTGTGAAGAAAAAAACCGGGGGGTATCTAATGAACCCCATCCCTAAGACCCTGCTTGGAACAGCAGCCTGCCCTTCATCTACCCCAGCAGAAAATCCAGACATCATGCTAAACTTGCAAGCCAACAATTACTGCTTCTATTTCAAAAGCTCTTCCTCCTTTTTCTGGTCTAGATCCCCACTAGAACAGGATTTTGCCCAGAAGCCTCCTGGCTCAAAAAATTTAAGGCATGTAGCTAAATCCTTAGGTGATAGATTGAAAATAGCCCTTAATAT